GTGTCCAGTTATGCTACGGACGTGTTGGAATTTTTTCAGATGAATAAACAACAAAGAAAAAAAGAATGGATTGTCTGGGTTTCGAACACATGGAGCCTCGAAGACTCCGAGTCTCGAAGCGTCGAAGATTCCGAGCCTCGAGGAGTGAATTTAGAATTCGCTTGCCTGACAGTCAGCACGCACACACGCACGTACTGCGTCACTCGACACGCGCCCCTTCTTTTAGGAGATGCACGAAGCCGGCCGCGAGATGGAGCGCTTGTAGACGAATACCCTAGGCACGAGCATGGCAAATCTTATGCGTATATTTTCAGCTCTGTACGGCGTATCCACTTTTTGAGGGGAGTAGTGCACAATCCCTCCTAAACTACGTCTATTTCCCCTTAAATAATGGACATTGACACTAGGGTGCGGTAGTGAGCCGTATCCACTTTCGAACAAAGAAATGAGCAATCTCCCTTTTCATCTCTGTCTGCTGTCATCGCGTCTTCTACAGTCTTCTAATAGTCAAATGGTCAAAGACATGTTTGACTGATGTTTGACGGCGCACCTAGGGCACCTGTCCTAATGGCTGCTTGACCGACCAGAGCATATTCATGTACACCAGTACTGTAATTGACTGTCAAAGAAATAGCTTTTGTCATTTTAGAGACTTTTTTGGCTCCGAGCTCTCCGACTATAATCTGTGCGCTCTGAAAAAAGAACGCATAAACTAATATTATCTATACCTATGTCTATATATACGTCTTCTTCTTCTGTTAGCCTTCATGTCTTCTAGCCTTTACTTTGTTTTTTCCGAATGTCGACGAAACAGTTTTTAACGCAGGTTATAAATAAATGACGTATAGAACTTGATCCTGAAATAGAAACGGGCTACGAGGACTGGTCCCGGAACTGGCGAAGGTCCTCGAAGGATTTCCAAGTTGCTCCAAGTCGCATGTAACTCCAGCTTTCCTGCCGCTGTATCCTGAGAATTCTAGGGATCATAATCGCGAGGCGAAACGTATCAACGGACTATCCGTGTTCGTCGGAAGTATAGAGCATCATTTGGAGACTAAAGAGATCTCGCAGAGTACAGATAAATATAGGTATACAAAAATTGAAGTTGATGTGGAAGAAGCAGGGAAGCTGGTAACGAGTAAATGGGATGAAAAAGAAATGTGAAACTTTCAGCGATTGCAAAAGTTGGTGCAAATCAATTTGGAGCTCGACCAAGAGGAAACGCGTTCGTTCAGGGCCTGTCTTTTACAGGAAAGGAGAGAGGGTTCTGTTTAACTTTCAACATTTCGTAAAACCAGAGAAGATCGTTGAGGAGTACACTAGGGTCAACATTTACAACAAGTAGGACTCGTTTTCTTCTAAGCGAGCGTGCGAATAGTAATTGTTCCAATCGACACTGACATAAGGTTTCGTTTGCGATGCTGCTCAAGCAATAAAAACGTCTGCGATGTTAGTACGAGAACGAAATGGAAACATTTTGACGAAACGTGAACGCACGGGAATCGGATGATGAATATTTCGAAAAAATAATTGATTTCTCTGGATTTTCACAGGCCGCGTTTAGTCAAAATTAACAAGAGAGAATCGCCTGTACCGTCGATATCCGCGTCGTTCGTCCATGAGAAACGCGTTCCATTGGAAGTGGATCCCCGTCGTAGCAAATCTAAATGTGAAAAGACGCGTGCGAACGTCGCCGATGTTACTGAGGAAAGAATACCCGGATGGAGGTTAAAGAAAGTTAGTGGAGTCCCACTGGATTCCGATATCTATGTTCGGACCCACTGACTTTTCTCTATGTTCTCGAATATCTTTTCTAGTCTGTGGAAACTGTGCCAAAGAGAACGACCAGAAGAAGGGTCCCGAAGAGGATTTCTGCGACCCACAATTTCGTCTACGAGTTCGATCCGTTTGCCAATTCCTCATCACCTTCTAATAACAGTAATGCGATAACCAGAGGACGCGATGTATCTAATATTGGCCTAGGAGATTCATCCGTGAAGAGTGCGGGCGATAAACAAAATTCTAGTAACGCGCAGATCCATGGGACCATGCTGCCAAAATTGAATTCGCGCAACGACGTCGTTACAGAAAAACGAAATCCCGTCGGCGAAATTGACCGTGAGGTCGAGAAGGTGAAGTCCGATTGGCGAACTCTGCGCACGGAGGGTCGATGGATCGAGGGGAAACATTGTGCGAACGCGCGAACGAAGAAACTTTATGACACCTTAGAGAGAATGACGAAGGAAATAGATAAGATACAGAGATCCTATTTGGCTCCGAAATCAAATGAATTTTTACATCGGAGTGCGGTGAAAACATTGGATCGTCCTCGGATAAGTTTCGAAGAAAAAGTCGAAAAAATCAAAGACACGCTGTTTCCTAAGGCACCCGAAAAAATAGTCGATGAAGCTTTCAAAAACGTATCGAGTGACCATTTGAAAAACGATCTACCGCATGAAATTTCGTCGAAAGACGTACACAGCATAAGAAAATCGAACAAGAAGTCTTATATTTCCGATGTGCAAGTGGCAAGCGGGAAACGTTGTACGAAATCGGCTGGTAGTCAGTTAGAAGATGCAAACGCGATCGATCGAATAAATAAAAAGAAAATTAATGCCGACGTTGAGCAATATTTGGAGAAATATATTAACGAGGCGGAGAAGAATTTGGTGAACGGGAAGAAGAAGTCGAAGATGAAGGAGTTGGATATATCCTCGAAAGACGTGGCGAGCATGTTGAAGAAATTGAATATAAATCCGTATGATATCCAATACGAGATCATGGAGGACCAGGGAGAAGAAAATTTTTCTTTACCCAGTGCAGAAAGATTAAGGAGCGGGAGGAAACAAAATTGTCCGCGAGTAATCGTCGATCGAAAAATAGGAAACGTAACGGTAAACGAAAAGGACGAACAGTCGATGTTGCGTAAAAACAAGAGAAATTCCGATACGTCGATTCAAACGACCACCAAGACCAACTACGAAGAAAATGCTTTCATAGAGATGGGTTTGCGTACCCTGGGCAACGATATTTCACGGAACGCAATGTCGCGCGTGCTTCAGTCAGAGTTTCTAAAAAAAGACGTTTCGTTGAAGCCTATGTAAAACATTAAATATCGACACGGAAATGGGGAAACGATATAGAAAACATATATTTTTTTATTTACTTACTGTGATACACTGCGTATATTAATTATTAATATATTTCTATTTCGATGGTGCGCCAAACATATTTAAGTCGTAATATGTGAAAGTTAAATCTCTTCTTCTTTGTATACAGTCTCATTTTTCATGCATATACAGTCGTGTTTAAAATGAAATTCTCTCTCATCCTGACATTAGAACGTATCACAAGATATTTTCTTATGTATTCGTTAAAACATACGAATTGAAAATAATCAGACTATATATATATTTGACGATTCGGTGAGGAAACCATTCAACCAATTCCAGCGCGTACAGAAAACTATGAACGCTGTGCTTCTGTGTAACGAACGGTAGGCGTTAGATCGACGGAAGCTGCGAAGCCGAACGATAAACAATATCGGGAATTCTCTTTCGACATAAGTTTCCTCTATGCTTTGATATGTCTTCAAATAACGCGTAAACGCGCCATGTCATTAAAATTCTCGTCAGCCACAATCGAGAAAGGTGCGCTTACGGAGCGGAGTTTTAATCGCGCATCTTCGTTGATTCCGGTAAAAGACTTTCAGTTGAAACACCTATAATCATCACAATACCGGAAGCGCGGAACTGTGACTTTGGTATATGATGGCCCCCGTGAAATTGATCGCTGCAGCCAGAACAAAAACGGGCATCCAACGACCGTGCGACGCAGTCACAAGTTCGGCTGTTAACGGGCCACACAGAATACCCGGTACAGTTGCCTAAAACACGCGATTAAATCGTAATGCACTCGTCTTAAAGAATTATTGATATTACGCCGAGATATGAGAACGAAAGCGCACAATTGTATTTGAAACTGCAAACGTGATTCCTGCGTGATTAGGCGCTATGTCCGCGTGATTACTCAGGTGGCCGGCAGAATTGCACGCGCAGAGCCCCATGGAGATCGACACGAAGCTATAGAATAATCAGAAATTAGTTGGGAGAAATTATCTTCAAACGCGTTCCGCGGTTGACTTCGATACTGACATCACTGCAGCGAGCAAATTGTCGACGGCGCAGAAAGCTAACAGGAACGCGCCGGGACCGACCAGGCCTATGTTTGTCATCAACCTTCTCACAGACAAAACGGACCATCTCTTCTGTATTAAATTATCGGCACTGTGTCCGGCAACTATTCAAAAATTAACAAATGTTTCGGTTGTCCAATAGGCAACTATGCCAATGAGAACATAGCGTTTGACGGTACGCACCTATGCCAACGAGAGAGTTGACAATATACGGAAGTGCCGTGAAACTAATACTCTCTTTGTTGGCAGAGAGACTCCTGGCTAGATAAGTCGGTAACCATTGCATTATTATATAGTTGCTCCAATTCATTGCGAAATGTGCTATGTACAGTGCCCACAGAGCCCAATGCGAAATGAATTCCGTCCATCGTAAACTTCGATTTTGCGTTACCTAAAAAATTTGAGAATATCGACGAGCCCTTTTCGCATCCACTCGGGAGTTTAAGTGAATCGATTACCTTAGGTACAAATAATGGAATTTCGTCTTGAGAATTAGTCTCGTGGTAAAGTATCAACCATAGAAGTGTCCATACAATACCAATTATACCGAATAAATAAAATCCTGTTTGCCACGACAAATGTGGGCACAGCTGTATATATTTCAAGAATTACAAACCAATTAATATTGATGTTACTATGTAGCATTTTATTAGATGTAAATCGAACTTACAACGGATGCAACCACTTGTCCTACAGAGCCAGCTGCTACAAGGTACCCAAATGCTCTGGATCTCTCCTCCACGGGTACGTTGTGAGCAAACAGGTGAAAAATAACTGGTAGACCTGGAAAGTAACACGTGGCAACGATAACAACGAAGTAACATGTCATTCGCTGAGATCGGCTTACCTAGGCCTTCTCCGAGTCCCAAAACCACTCTACAAACGATGAGCAGTGGAACCGACTGTGCTAAAATCGGAGTTACGACCGTGCTAATAGACCACAATAAAACAGCCAACATTAGTACCGTTTTACACCCAAAACGACTCGCTGTACTTGCACCGATAATCTGATATAAGAAAATTGATTAATTAGCTGTGAGAGACAATGAATCCAATGGTCATACAAAGTGTACAAATAGAATATAGAACCGTTTGGGAGGAATATAAATAACGATGTGTACCTGACTAGTAAAATAACCGAAAGCAAAGGCAGAGAGTATCCAGCCTTGCCAATACAGATTCCATTTGAATTCGTCGGCCATGGGGACGATCGCTACGGGCATTATAACGCGATCCGCTGCGTTTATGAAATTCGCGGCGGAACATAATGCCACGATGCGCGAGGTACGCGGAAGCATTCGAAATTTTGGCATGTTCGGTGGTCGATCCCTCGCATCACATCCCGTAACAGTAAGAATCCAGATCGCCTCCTTTCCTAACTTCGATCAGCGCGTAAAATAGAAAGAGCTAGTTTAAAAGGTTTAGGTCGCTCATAGATGCGTTCACGTCGACGGGGAACATCATGGTCATGATCACCCGTTTAATGCTTATCCGGTTTAACGGGAGACTGATCGGTTTGACGTGTCAAATGCTACGGTTACGTGACAACATGTGTACCCTCCGTAACCTCTCGTGTGACAACAGCGATTCCACCTCCACTGATTGCACTGGCGCACTGGCGCGGCGCTGGCGGATGGCGGATCGTCGTGCGCGGCGTCGCAATTGAAGATTTTGCTCCATTTCTATGTAACGATTAATTATAATTCGGCTTTAGAATTTCTGGTAAGTTCTATGGAATTTGATCACTTTTGAATGAGCTTCAACGGGCTCCGATAGCGACTGCTGCGAGACGCGAGATCTATTTCGTTTCTGGAATCGTCTACCTTGTTTAAAGGGCTGCTTAGGGTTGCGTTACGGCATTCCTACTTGCTCCTACTGAAACCGCTATTTTATTAAGAAAGTATTATACATAGTATATATTGCATAAGAAGTGAGTATTGTTAAATTATCATAATCACGAATTCTTATTTACATTGCCGCATAGTAAACATCCTACGAATATTTCTAATTTTTTTATTACTATAATTACATGCATACCGATTGTAATAACGAGTCGTACGATCTTATTAAACGCCCGTACTGTACTCGACAAATTAATTCTTGATTTGTTATTCCGTTCGTAGATCGAGTTCAGCGAAAAAGCAATATCATCGTCCGCGTATTATATACATGTACATAAATTTGTTTTCTGCCTCCGTTTGAATTCATCTAAAAATTATTATTTTAGAATGGCAACTCCAGTAGATATATCTCCCAACAAGGACGGCGGCGTTACAAAGGAGATAATCAAGGAAGGTGTCGGAAGTGAACTTCCTTCACCTGGAGGCACTGTAATTGTTCATTATACTGGCACTTTGCTGGACGGAACGAAATTCGATTCCAGCAAGGACCGTAATGATCCATTTCAATTTGAGCTAAAAAAAGGAACTGTTATTAAAGCATGGGACATAGGAGTGGCTACTATGAAAAAGGGCGAAGTCGCAATATTGACTTGTGCTCCCGAATACGCGTATGGAGAAACCGGTAGCCCCCCGAAAATTCCTCCGAATTCAACGCTTAAATTTGAAGTAAGTGATCGAGTTGAAACACGCAGCTTTTCTAAAATTGAAATGTATTGTCGATTTGATTTTAGATCGAGATGATCGATTGGAAAGGAGAAGATCTGAGCCCTGAGAAAGATGGAAGTATCGAGAGGTATCAAATTGTCCAAGGAAAAGACCCCATTACTCCTAACGAGGGTGCTTTAGTAAATGGTAAATAAAATTAAATAACGCGAATTAGCGTTTGCTTTGTCGTATACATCACTTGACCGATGGACGACGTTTTATCAATGTAAATTTCGTTTCAGTACATTTAACCGGAGTGTATAACGAGAAAATATTCGAGGACAGAGACGTACAATTTACGCTCGGCGAAGGAGAAGACGTTGGCGTCATAGAGGGTGTAGAGAAGGCGTTGGAGAGTTTTAAACAGGGAGAGAAATCGAAACTTAAAATAAAAAGTAAATATGCATTTAAGAAAGAAGGGAATTCCGAATTTAACATTCCACCAAATGCGACCGTCGAATATACAGTGGAATTGAAAAGTTTCGAGAAGGTAACTATTCCGTGGATTAAAATTGGCCACGGATCGATCAACGTGATGTTTACTGTCTTTTTTTCAGGGCGTAAATGCTTGGTCGTTGAACAATAGCGAGCGGATAGAACAAGCCAAGATTTACAAAGAGAAGGGAACTAATTACTTTAAGGCATGCAGATACAATTTAGCGACTAAAATGTATAAGACGGTCACCTCGTTTCTGGAATACAGGAAAGATTTCGAAGAGGATCTTAAAACGGAAAGAGAAAATCTTATTTTATCGGCGTACTTGAATTTGGCGTTGTGTCACTTAAAGATGGATCGAAACGTCGAGGCGAAAGACGCGTGCAACGAGGCGCTGATATTGAGTCCACAGAACGAAAAGGCGTTGTTCAGACGAGGGCAGGCTTACCTCGCGCTGGCGTCACCCGAAATCGCGATTAAAGACTTCCAAGAGGTGTTGCGCGTGGAACCGAAGAATACGGCAGCCACGAAACAAATCGCGATTTGTAATAATCTAATTAAGAAACAATTAGCGAAAGAGAAAAAGCTGTATGCGAATATGTTTGACAAATTTGCTGAAGAGGATAAACAGGTTTGTGAAAAACAAAATTAAGTAATCCTATCGTACCATCACTGGTTCTCGTTGTGAATCTTGTAATTGTGATTTCGATGTTTGAAAGGCATGTCAGTTATAATTTATAATAACGAGGTGTAATGTAGCGCGATGGTAGATGAATTAAATTTCCGTTCAGTCGACGCCTGTTCTAAAAATCTTTTACTAAATATTATGTCGATGTGCAACCATAAATGTATGGTTTCACCATAAATTGTTAGTAATCTCACAGAAGGAGGAGGAGAAGCTACGAGAGCAACCGGACGTGATGTGCGGGGCCCTGGGTGAATGGGGGCAGGAAGAACGACCCGGAGGCAGGGACGCGACTGCCTTCGAAAAGGAGAATCCTAACATACTTATGCTCAACGCTAATGGCACCGACGAATTCCAAAATATGTAAAATAATTGTTCCTTCCCCCTCGAACCCCGTTCCTTGCACTGCCTCCTTTCTCGACTGCCAGCGACACGTAAAATTCGATCATGCATTCGATTTCTAATCATTCCCGCCTTGAACTCGAGACTCATCAAAACTCAGCCTAGTCAACAGCTCTCATGATTTCGCATCGTTCATTTCTTCGGATATGAATTAGTTTCACCGTCTAAACATCGCGTCGTACCTTTTTCCAAATTGTGATGTTTACGCGCGATGCATTCCACGTAATTGTAAATTCAATAAAGAAAACTTAAAAATTGTATCCTTCGCTTATTTCTTTCACGGTAAATCGACACCTTTAATATACATAATTTTTGGTAAATCTAAAAAGATATTCATTCGTTGAATGCAACGATTATCTTTGAAACGTGTAAGAGTACTTATAACGCGGGTTGTTGTACAGCTGTCTTCTAAGCAATTCTCGCATAGTAACAGTTATGTCGATATTGTCGATGCAGCAATAAATATCGCGACTGGAAACTGGTATAGCTTTAAATTCCTATCCCACGTAAGTTTATACAAAGATTTTGAAATTCTGAGTGTTAGAATAAATTATCCTGCAGGAAAAGTGAACGAATCAATTTCTCGTTTTTGCATTATGGTTATTTCATACCCTGTCGCATAAACGTACCATAAATGATGTGTTGCTATCATAAATCTTCGTTATTTGACTAATTTAAATCAATGATGCATTTCAATACGTGTTACCAATACAAATTCAACGACTATTAGCACCGCATACATGCAAATTCAGAGATATCATCGCGAATTATATTATATGTCATAGATGTGTAGTATGTGTATGTGTATGTACATATATATGTACATGGCTCCGCATTCATGATCTTTATTCCCATTTATTCCTCGACAGGACAGGAGAAGAGTCGGTTTGTCTGGGTCAATTTGGGTTGTGGTCACGACAACTAGTCGCCTGGGTCATCTGCAGTCGTCTACTTACAGCGAAGTGAACGAAAAATTAATTAATCGAAATGCCTAATATTATAAATGATATTAAATTAGATTTTAAAGATGTGCTGCTCCGGCCGAAGAGGAGCACGTTAAAGAGCAGATCCGATGTAAGTAACAAAAGTTGTTCATATCTTTTTTCTGTATGGAACCTAATACCGGTTCACATAAAATCGATGTAATTGCAAATTATCATAATTCACGTACACTTTTTTGAAACGTTAACGTGCAAATACTACGTTGCTGGCTGCATGCAAAAAAGTGCATCCTCAGGATGGAATTGTTCAAGGACGAAACGTTCTTATCTCTATTGCATGCGTGCACGTTATCTTCATATTCTTGGGGCAATATCAACAAAAAGAATTGGCTCGATGATTAATTTTTAATTAAACAAAGTTCCTTATCCGTTTCAGGTCGATCTTTACAGAGAAATTAAATTTCGCAACTCTGGACAAACTTACAAGGGAATACCAGTAATGGCTTCGAATATGGACACGGTTGGAACATTTGAAATGGCCAAAGCCTTGTCGAAAGTATATTTCCACTTTTATTCTGTTCGAGCTTTTCGCGTAATAGAGGTAGTTGATAATTTTATTCTGACTCGTAGCACGGCCTGTTCACCACCGTGCACAAGTATTATTCGCCAGAAGAATGGAAAGAGTTCGCGCTCAACAATCCCGAATGCATTCAACATATGGCTGCTAGCTCTGGCACGGGGAAGGATGATTTCGAACGACTGTCGAATGTTCTGGCGGCCGTTCCAAATTTAATATTTATTTGCTTGGACGTAGCGAATGGATACTCGCAACACTTTGTAGAATATGTTAGGAAAGTGAGAGCAGAATTTCCCAATCACACCATAATCGTAAGTCGTAATCGCGAACCGATATAATTTAAAAGTAATTGGTATCGATACATACCCACATGTTTAAAATGAAATATTAATTTCTTTCGAAATATTTATTTTTCTATTGCTGTTATCATCGTCATCATCATCATTGATTGAGACCGACCGTTGATTGATTTAATGTATGTAGTACGAAGTATTTGTATGTAGGCAGGGAACGTGGTCACTGGCGAGATGGTCGAAGAGTTGATACTATCCGGGGCCGATGTGATCAAAGTTGGAATTGGTCCAGGATCGGTGTGCACGACGAGGATGAAGACCGGCGTTGGATATCCACAATTGAGCGCTGTGATCGAATGCGCGGACGCTGCTCATGGCTTGAAAGGACACATTATTTCTGTAAATACATAGTCTCGCGTTGGTTTTGCACATGCAACGATTCTTCCAGTGATTTAAGTCAAATTTATTGATTTCGCATTCCATTGCAGGATGGCGGTTGCACGTGTCCGGGTGATTTAGCAAAGGCATTCGGTGCCGGGGCAGATTTTGTAATGGCCGGTGGCATGTTCGCTGGGCACGACGAATGTGGCGGGGAGATTATTGAAAAAAATGGGAGGAAACTGAAACTGTTTTATGGGATGGCATCGAGCACGGCAATGAAGAAACACGCCGGTGGTGTCGCCGAATACAGGTCCGTTTATGAGCTACAGTTACAAACGAATCGAATTGGAACACGTTTTCACATTAATAATTTTCCGTTTAGATCGTCGGAAGGTAAAACCGTGGAAGTACCTTATAAAGGGCCGGTGGAGAACACCGTGTTGGATATACTGGGTGGTTTACGGTCCGCCTGCACGTACACGGGAGCCGAACGATTACGCGAATTACCTCGACGTGCCACGTTCGTACGTTGCACACAACAATTAAATCCGATGTATGGCCCGCCGCCAGAGATCTGAAGATCTGTTCCTAGATTTAACGCGGTTATAGATAAAATATCCACTGGGTCAATTAACAGAGTGGTATTATTTGCTGGCAAATAATATTTAGAAGCTTAAATTAACATAGATATATACGTACTTGCGTTCCGATTCATTCGATTCAACGAGTTTTCTTCGTGTATAAACATTTTGTTCACATGATAGCGTTTTCTTTCTATGAACGCTTCGTGCGTGATTGTACATATTGTGTATGTATATCGATGGATATGTTCGGCGTAGAGGTAGAATTTGTTAAAGTAAGGTATCGACGAATGTATTTTTTAATGATTCTAGAACGATTATGTGTTGAACACACATACATGTATAGGTTTGGATAGTCTGATCGCATATGTACATATATTGTACACATGTACATAATGTATAAATTGAACGCTTACGTACGATGCGTGTCTGTAGAACAAATTATTATGTATACACCGAGTGAAACATTGAAGTATCGAAAGCTGGAATCATGAAATGATCATTATTTCACGTGCAATAAATAATTGTGGGCTTTGAAATGTATCTTATTTCTGAATAATCTTTATTCCTTTCCTCCGGACCGGGCAAGCAGATTTACAAACATCATTACAAATCGATTCGGTTCCTTCTAAAAGTCTCAACAACATTCAGTCTATAAAACATGAGAAACATTTTAGATGTCTAGTATCCGAACTTGTCTTAATTAATGGCAATGGAAATTGGTTTATGTCATCCTTGTTCCTGAAACACGTTCGATGCACTTAAAAATCAAACGATGTATTTGTAAGATATACAAGCATACATGTTACGTGTAAAAAAAATAATTTTATTACGTACGTGTCGATACATATACTTGGTTGGTTTAATACTTGTTCGTAAATTTTCTATAATGGAGAAATAATAAAATAAGGTTGCCAATGCCGGTATCCTCTGATCAATGTAACGTAAATATGTATATAATATATTCGAATCGTAGGCGAGAAAAAAAAGAGAAATCACAACGATTAAATTGATAATAAATGTCCCACGATTACAAGTTACGATTATTATAATGTACGTATATATACATATATATATACGAATGTGTCGTTTTTTAAATTCAACTTCGGTTCTGACAAAATTAAGACAATTTAAATGTCGATTATATATAGACGTGCGTGATTAGTAAAATCGGTTCAGACTTGTCTACTCCAATCGGTATACATCCATGTAAATAATCGTTCGATAAAATTAGTAAATAATATAAATACAGTTGTACAAGTTGCGGGTATAAAAAGCGGTGATTCGATATGCCGTCCGCTGGACTCCGTAATTGCGGGTCCCCGTTTCCTTCTCGCGGACGTAAACGGACAGAATGCTGTATGAAATACTTAAAACAGTAAGTATCCCCCTCGATGAGATTTTTATGCAGAAACACAGGTAGGAAACATTCCTATAACTGGCGGCTCTAAAAAATATCTAAAATAGTAGTGGTATTTAACAAGAAAATACAAAGGAACCAAGGTAAAATTGTATTTAGTATTGTTATAATATAGCATATTACGTAGACCACCATACGTATATTATATTTTCTCTTTCATACACAATGAATGAATAAAACAATTGATAGGCGATAGAAACAGAAACGAATGACGGTCGCTTTTATACGACCGATTATTATACTATAAAACTTTTTCCTAATTCGCTAAGGGCAAAATGTGTTTCATGAATGAGCCAGTGAAACATAAATAATGAGATAAGATATCGAAATAAGTATCTAGACGGTTTTCTTATCGATATATCGTTAAGGATAATATATTTTAGTATCTTTAATGATAAGTGGGAAGCATAATATGTGGATAATATTGTTGCAGATTCCCCCGTTCCTGTTTTTCACCTGCTGCTGCTGCTTATCACCTGCCAGTTTATGTTACAATCGGGTGTTATGGAACAAAAATACATACAGTAGTATAAGTAAGAACATAAGCGGACATCGTGTAGATATAATATAATGCTCGATTTCTGGCATGTTTCTCTCTCTCTTTCTCTCTCTCTCTCACATTACTTAAAATTAAAACCATGAGTATCCTACAATATTTGTATATCTATTTATATATATGTATATATATAAAAAAAAACACAAAATATTATAGTATAAATAGAACATAGTTGATTTTAGCGGCATTCTTTAAAAGTGGTATGGAGTTTTGCGAAGCGACCAACTATCGTAATTTATTGTAAACAGTATATGAAGTTACAGCAGGCATTAACCGCATCATCCCGATGGGAAACTATCTGAAAACTATCTGAAATAAACAAACGGTCATAATAAAACATATGAAGAGGGTGGCGTGAACGTAAGTATACTTTCAAAGGTGTAAAATATCGCGGCTATCAATGTTCGTGTACAAAACAACGTTCGAGTTATTACAAACTTGTTATTTTTATATAAATGTTTAACTCCCTGAAAGTATCAACAATTCGTCAATGTACTCCTTTCTTCTTACACCATTGATTGTCGTTATAATAACGGAACAGTGAATATCAAGTCAATATAAATGCAAATGATAATACATGGTCAACCGGATGGAACAAAAATAATGTTAAAATCATTCGTGCGTGTTCCATCGACAAACAATTATTACCAGTGCGATATTCAAGTCACATTAGAACAATTTATATGCAAATGCCGTGTGTATACAATATTCATGAATCAGTCGACTTGTTTCCGTATAAATTAATACTCGAGTTAGATATATTTACCATATGAGATCTCGAACGATTTAACTATAAATTATAATGTAGTTACAAGTCGAATTGCATATCTTTATTCTAATTTCACTATTCTCGATTTTACATTGACTTAATAATAACAATAATATGGTCGGATATTTCGAACAATTGTATGATATAAAAGAAGACTACGAATCTTGCCAAGTTAGAATAAAACCATCATAATATCATACAATTTTCTGGCGACTCAAAATCGATGTATATAAATTGAATTCATACTTACAGCTAATTTATTTCCTGGTGGGAATTTAACTTTCCGCGTTTGCCTGTGAGTATGGGTAGTTTTGATAGCCTGTAGGGAAAGATGCATTCTGTTGGCCGGCTTGCGGTTGCCCCGTGGATCCAGCACCCGCCGCGTAATAACCTGCCGGCGTCGAGCCGGCATTTATCGTCGGATATCCGCCATAAGCTTGCGGAAATGCATTCGGAGTCCCGGCCGCTGGTCCCGATTGACCTTGCATACTCTGCATCTGCTGAGCCATTTGATTATTCGGCATTCCCAACTGATGAAAATCAAAGATATTCGATTACTCCTGATAGTGCTGTCGATACACAATCGATGGGACATCGAGGTTTCAACTTACCTTTCCCGCTTTCATTTGAGCCTCTATAGCTTCGGCTTCTTTTATTTTACCGATACTTCTATAATACTCCGCCCATTGTGCACTGTAATCAGCTTGGCCACCGTTTTGCGTAACTCCGGCTTGTTGCTGTTGCTGCTGCTGCTGCTGCTGCTGCGTTTGTTGTTGCTGCTGTTGTGTCGGTCCACCAGCACCAGCTGCCGATGGATTACTTTGATTCTGCGCGTTCGCTGTAAAGACAAATTTAGATTAACACTACTCGAGGCGAGTCGATCTTCACGGTGTATCAGATACCTGATTGTTGATTGTGATCCTGTTTCCCCTGTTTCGCTTGCTGCTCGATCATGTCCGCTTCTCTGTGCATACCAAGCGACCGATAATACTCTACCCATTGTGCACTATAATCCGGCTGTCCCGTTTGTGGATTCACTTGGACAGGCGCCTGATTCGCAGCACCTTACGCGACACACATCAGTCAGTCACGTTTATTTAATGGTTATGTATTCATCGTTTAAAAACTTGTTACCTGCGTCTGTAGTTTGTGGTTGAGTCGGCCAGGCTTGGTAAGCTGTCCCAGCGTTCCACGTTGGATTATATCCGATCGCTCCTTGCGTGCCAGTGAACGACGCGTTAGCAGGAGCCTGAGATGTGAATAAATAACTATGAATTCATCTTTTCGTACATGATATTGTTATGAGCTATTTACCATGCCTAATTTTTCACTAAATATTCTTTTCGCGTGTTCAACTTGCTCGGGGTTTCCACGAATTATGAAAATTTTCTCGTTCTCGTTACTTTGATTTCTTCTATCCAGTTCACAATGTGCACCGGTTTGTTGATTTATTTGCTTAATAGTTTCACCGCCTTTGCCAATAATAATACCACATTTCGATGACGGTACGGTGAACGTTGTTTCTATTTTATCTTGCATAGGACCACCTCCTTGACGTCTGTCCCATCCGCCGTATTCGTTCGGATTGCGATTGTTACCAAACCCGTTATTTCCACGCGAACCGCTCCTGGCCCCCATATTAGTTCTGCCGTCATCTCTTCTCTGGAACATTCAAGAATAACTCGAATAACATCTCACGGAATAATCAAACCAGAAGATACGTGGAAGCATAATATTAACCATTACACTGTCGATGAGCTCTTGAATACGTTGGCGCACTTGCTCCACGGCTTGATGTTTACCGGACACTATACATTTTCTATCTCCGGGACCGTCTTCGCGTCCTTGCTGAAACTGAACCCTCGCGCCAGTTTCCGCCTGTATCTTTTTAATCATATCTCCTCCTTTACCAATAACAACTCCCACCGCAGCCCTCGGAACAAGTACCTAAAGCCCGATCGAATATACAAGATAAGTTATGTTTGGGTGAACGGCGTTGCACGGTTATAGAAGGGTTTTCAAACATTGCGCATGTAAGACCGTCAACGTTTAGCGAAATGCAGAATGTACCTCGACTCCGTCAGTGGTTCCAGAATTATGATTAAAACTATTATCATTCGAATAATTTCCGCCGCTCCTATCGCTAGCCCTTGCACCTCTATGAAACATTTGCATTTCTTTTTCAGCTATCAATTCATATACTAATTGCTTGGCATATTCAACTTTTTGGGGGTCACCGGTTATCCTATGGACAACAAGTGTATATATAGCTGCTGAACGAGAATTTAAAACTACTCGCCGATATGAAAATGCTGGTCACCGTCCGTTACCTCAAAGGTTTCTCTTGTTCCTGCGACGGACCTTCTTGGATCACAACCATTTTAGCTCCAGATTTTTCTTGAAGTTGTTTTATCGTTTCCCCTCCTTTACCAATGATCAAGCCAACCTTCGGCCCAGGGATCATTATTTCAACGAACCCCGGATGACCCATCATTCCGCCGCCGCCGCCACCGCCACCACCGCCGCCCCCGCTCATATCGCCAATACCCTCAGTTCTACTTCGTTGGTTCACAATCGTCAGTACTAACTCTTTAGCGCGGCTGAAACACAGACGATTTTCACGCGCAATGTAATCTCGAATAGTACCAAGCCTCGGACGTAATCTATCAATTATACAGTAATGCAATTTGTTTGCAACACATAACGCGAACATCTACCGTGTGCCAAAAAATATTACGAGTCGCATCATCTCTTTTTTATTTAAGAACGAGTTATTTCTTAAACGTGTATAATAAAACGAAACTTCATGTTAAGACGTCGTACGCTTAATCATAATCAGATTCAAACAAATAAAAAATTCAATCTCTCCTCTCGTTGCGAACAACACGTCCCCATGCACATCCTATCCTCCTTCCTTCCTTCTTTCTCTCCATATCCTATTGAAAGCAAAAAACTATTAGTAAGTACAAAATGACCAAATCAAAAGCCACAACTTATTCGATAAATTCTCGAATGAGAAATTATTCCGAAGCATATATATATATATATATATGTATATATATATGTAATGTCAAGTATGAGCCCGCTATTCGCATCCAGGAGCTAAATAAAGATTCTGTAAAACAGTTCAGACAGTTTTCAATATGCAAAAGCATGTAACCTACATTCAAGAAATGCATGTTAACATGAAATGATAGCGTACGGAGTATACTAAAACACACGCAATCGGTATCTATTTGCTGCGTGTGCTCGCAGCACGTTTTCTAACGATCACGGTCAGTGTACACAAAGCATTACGATCATATGTTACAACCAACATGACGATATCATAGTTGTTTCGCTTCTATTTTTCTCATTAAAACCATTTCATCGAGATACGAGAGAGACAGTTGATACTTTCAGGTGTTTCTACGTTTTACAATGGAACTAGGTGGATATATTGTTATTTAAGTAAATCATAATCTACCATCGATTTCTTATACATCAGATACAAGGAGGATAGCAGGTTTGTTTTACCGTACATGTGTCCCTGTATGTGAATGTCTGTCTATATACATAAGTGTATCTACACATGTACAATTACATATATGTATATATGTGTATACGTACATATATATACGTATATTGTATTATAAGTGTGATCGGTACGTGCCGGTTGACATACACCACGGAGTAATCCTTCGTTTGTAAAGTGGAAAAATTGCATTGCATACAAAAGAGTTAAAATTAACGAAATAAGAAGGGAAAAACAAGTTACTTGACAGCTTCTCGAGAGCCAGTTAACGTGCAAGTACGTTCAGGTAGTCCGCTCTCCGGCGCCATTTGAATTTTACATCCCGTTTCACTCTGCAATCGCGTTATTTGTTCTCCACCTCTGCCAATGACTGTAAAGATATCGTTATTAATTACGACGGTTCGTCAAAGGACCAACGCAGTTTCAAGTTCAACTTTCTTTACACTGTTCATCTCTACACAAATAATTCAATGCACGCATAAAATAGAAGGAACGAAGAGAGATTCAATGGATCACAAAACATTTATGACAACGAGAATAGTTCGCGTTCTACTTTGAGGACAAAAGAGATGTAAATAAGTGTCTACTTACTCAGACCAACCATGTTATCGGGAACTCTGATATCTTCGTTACAAATACCTCCTACATTTCCAATCGGTCCCGAAGATCCTGCTTGGCCTCCTCGCCCCGACTGATTATTCGAATCTCCCAATGAATTACTTCCTGCTGAACCTCGAAGTCCTATTAATGGATCTGATACCAATGATGCCATTTTCTTTGCTTCAGGTTCTAAAATCATACGTGTGATTCAATGTTATTCATTTTGATCCCCAATGATCACCCTGCGAAGATAATCGAATTGTTCCGAGGTGCATTACCTGAACCATCTTCCAGAGGACGTTTCAATTTGGTGTCCTGACTATTCTGGGCACCAGCTGGGTTGATTTTGGCTGCAATCTAGCAAGCAATCATATTTGCATTATTTATCGTTCATCAACAAGGAAAATCCGTCAGACCGAGTTAAACATTCGAATAAAAGATATTATCATAAACGAACGTGATGGTTGATACGAGTAGAAGTGATCTATTTATTACGAACCAAAGTGGACGCATGGTCTTTAGGGAGGTGTTAAGTACAGCCTACTACTTACTGAAATCTATACTCAGTACAATTATAATCCGCGCGATGTTTACTCGATATATGGGTTCACTTACTTGCTTCGCACGTTGTAGAGCCGCAGCGAAAGCGGAGCTTTGGCTAAAATTTTGAGGCGGCGCAACCGCTGAATAGTCACTCATGATGGAACATGAAGCAGAAAGGATACGAATAAAACTATTTCGATGTTCCCTTCAGCGGACGGCTGTTGCTAACTAATATACAGCTCTACTCGTTCTAATGTCTCTTCCTTGAAATATATTTTACACAAAACATAAACACTTCTACACGCTGTTTCGAACGTACACAATATTACAAAGCAAAGGTTTACGTGAGTGAAAGAACTGTACTTTCACAGAACGAACAGCACGGCGCAAGCGTCTGTCATGGAACACACAATTTCGAAGATAGAGAACTGCAATGCAGTGATGAACAAGGGCACAGCGTGGGATTCTTTGCTGCCATTTGCTGAGTGGCTGACCGCCATTAATGGGATACTTCCGGTTGGACATGACCTAAGGGTTCACCTCTCTTATATCGCACGAAAAAGTCTGCAACCTTTTACGCCCTCTAGAATATATTGCCGCCGAAATAAGAAATAAAAAGCAAACCACTAATCTACTTTGAGTAGGATCAAGTAGGATTGTGTGTCTTACATGCTTTGTCGAAAAGTAATCAAGAGAAATGTTTATTACAAAAAATTTTTTGCATCCTACCGAGAAATGCTTGAAATTACAGTTGCTATGTAAATCCTATGCAATTTCCTTCTAAGTCCACTCGTTAAGGGATAATTGGTGATGACCGAACTCAAGTCTCATGAAATCAGTTCGAACACTGTTTTTAAGTAACCGTTTTGTTTAGTCTTTTGATCAAGGATCGTGAAATAAAAATTCCAAGATTTGTTTCCATTCATTTATTAATCAAAATTAAATCAGATATTTTCCTTATCTCAGATAGATTACAGATTTTTGTGTCTCACGTTCTGTTTAACATCTCTCTTCGGTCTTCTGTCTTCGATCTCCTCTCTTCAGTCTTATGTCTTTGAGCTTCTATCTCCTCTCTTAAATATATTATAATTGTATGTCCAGGTCTTCTTTCCTTCTTTCCTCTGCAGTTCCTTGATGAACCATCATCCCAGGCAACGGTGGACTGGAACTATGAAAGGAAAAAGTAGATATAAAATGAAATAGAACACTAATCGTCGATATAAAAGAGCTATGGTAACGCGAGTACCATACGTATTACAGGTGAACAATTCATGATTCATAACATATCATATTTTACAAATAATAATTGAATTGACACGTATTATGTGTATCTTGAGTAGAGTAAATACAAAACAGGATGCATTAGAGTATGCAAACTTCTTTGTTCAATATGTATAATGATCACCTGAAATACTATTTACTATTAGTTGTCGTATTAATTGCATTACAACGTCCACGCGTTGATCAACAATGTGTTGAAAGAAAACCACCTAATACCTAATTCGTTCTATGCAATAACTTTCGAAAATCATTCACTATACGCATACGATACTTTTTCCACACAGCGTTGCTATGAAAAATCGGGATGCTATGCTAATATGCTATATCGAGGGATTTCTCCTCTTTCCGTTCTATCCCCACTACTGTATGCTTAGTATCTTCTCCCTACTTACGTCTACCCATGGACCAGTGATGGGGCACGAAATCCCTCACGAGCGATTTCCCCTCTTTTCTGACTCTACACTATTCCCCTCTTGCGCATTTATCGATAATCGGGCAGGATTTTTTGGGTCATTCCAAAGGGAGTGGTCAGTGGACCAGTTGACCACTGACTTTAAGTACCCAGTTATTCGATCACTTGGTTAAGGATCGCGTGAAAATGAATAATTCTAATTAATAAATTAATGGAAATGAATATTTTTATTCCTTTTGAAATAAAAATGCCAATATTCATTTCCATTAATTTATTAATCAGAATTATTCATTTTTACAATAAATTAGAATCGAACCAGAGGAAATTGATTTTAGCAGAAGACCGTTTAGTCGATTAAATTCTAATTAATAAATTAATAGAAATGAATCTTGGTACTTTTATTTGTATCACATTGTATACTATTGAAACTTCAGCACTATCTTCCAGAAACATGAAATTCCTGTGGAATTTTTGTTTCTTATAATGAGCAACATCGATTGCAATACATTGATGAGCTAATATTTCAAGATTAAACTATAATACATGTGCTTATATGTTACATACATTTTTGTGTATAATGCACCTCTCCAATGTATCTTGAAATTATGAATAAATTATATTTCTACGAGTTCCCAATTCTAATATTTGCGGATACTACTTCCAACAATGGAAGAATATATAGTAATAACGTAACACGTATAAGCGTTGACAATACACGAGATAAAAGCAAGACTTCAACCAACTACAATACTTAATTATATTATTAAAGAAAATTAGAACTTGCACCGCATACCATACGCAGAACCCTGAAGCTTCGAAACATATGTGGATATGTATCTGTTCACGTACATATCGCTTTTTAGTATATTTACAATATTTCGTCAAATGATGTATGTATCATAATGGACATACGTATCCAAGTTGTATTTGATCAAACGACAGTAGAATTTATCGTTTAAGTACAAATAGTAACCACAAACTGCATTGTTCTTCATTGACGTATTTTCTTGATAATAGAGAGTATTTGCAAATTTCGCACATTTGAGGGGTATATAACTGAAGCGACGTGCGCTTAATCTTCAGTGAACAATTACTTCATCAGAGATGAAGGGTCTCATCGGTGTTGGTATCCTGCTTCTCATAGCTATTGCGAGCTCTGCAGCCCATTTCCTCCCTGGGCCCCTCGTACCACCTATCTTACCTAAACCCCCCGTCGTTCCTGAGCCTCACATCCCTAAACCCCCCCTCGTCCCTGAGCCTCACATCAGCCCTGAGCCTCACGTCCACCGGGAACATCATGAACACCATGAACACCACGTCGACCATAAACCCCACGTCGACCATGAGCGTTACGTTGTTCATACTGAAAAGGGACGTGTTCGAGGTTCACTTAGAGACTCGGTATCAAAATCCACCAAATACTGTAGTTTCAGAGGAATTCCTTACGCGAAACCACCAGTGAAAGAGCTTAAGTTTAGGGTAAGATTCACATTTCGATTCTTTACATTTTATCTTTTTTATCCTTCTCAAGTTTGACGATTACCAATTACATGTACGAATAATAAAAATTTCACGAATGAACGTAGGAACCCGTCGAGGTTGAACCATGGAAACATGTGTTAGAGTGTACTAAGGAGAAACCTGTATGCCTGCAACGTATTGGCATGAACGAAACCATAGTCGGAGAAGAAGACTGCCTCTATATTGATGTCCACACACCTCACGTAAGTAATTTTTGCCATTTCAGTAGAAGAGCAGGCATGCCTCTTTTACGAGATCAATCGTGTTACCTGCTTTCGTTTTTTGAAGACGGATCTCAAAAACATCAAAGAAAAGAAAGCAGTCTTAGTATGGATCTACGGCCCAGGACTGATGACGGGATACTCTGTTCATGATCGAATCGCTCATGAGCATTTCATCGAAGAAGACGTTGTCGTAGTAAAAATTCAACATCGTTTGGACGTTTTAGGTAAGAATTGCTAATGATTGTCTTTGTATGGACGCAACGTTCAGCTTCAAATTCAATAAATTTTTTCGATCAGGATACTTGGCATTGGATGTCAAGGGCGTACGAGGTAATGCGGGTCTGAAGGATCAGAACTTGGCTTTGCGATGGGTTCAAAAGAACATCGAGAAATTCGGTGGCGATCCGGACAGAATAACTTTGTTCGGAGAAGGTTTGAGCAGTGCTCATGTTGGCTACCACATGCTCCTGCCTCATTCCAAAGGTACGCCGACGAAGCAGTCGCCGTTATAAACGAATGTTTCGTACGTAATTTGAAAAGCGACGAACTTTTGGCAATTACACATTTCAGGTTTGTTCCACAAAACTATTCACCATAGTGGTACCCCACTCTGCCCATGGGCATTCAAGAACCGGAATGAAATAATCGAATCCGCGCTGAAACTTGGTGAAATCGTCGGAGCTCCTACACATAGTCACGAAGCACTCTTGGAACACTTGGAAAAGCTTTCCGCTACGGAACTTCTACGAAAACTTCATACCGCCAACTTGCTGCCGGTACTTAATCTAAAAGACAGTCTATAACTTATAATTACATATAGAGAAAAAGTTTACTCGAAATTACTACTCACTTTTATTTTTTATGTAGTCTCCAATTTCTTTGGAATTCGGTGTTACTATTGAGGAATGGTTGACCGCTACTCCTATCGAGCTGCTCAAGAGCGGAAAGATCCACAAAGGCCCGGTGATGCTTGGTTTCAACAAGCTCGAGCCGACCATACTTGCTGCAGGTAAACTGGAATTAGGTTTTGATGGAATAATTATTTACAATTAATATGCCGTGAATTAATTTCTTGTGGGACACATTATTATCGAGAATACTTGTAAATCTATCTTGCATCCGCAGGTACCGATTATGTCAAGTCTGCCATGTCTTCCGTTCTGGAAAGTCTCACTAAGACAATCCCTATACTCGAAATTCCTATTCGAGGCGTTATCGACATCGTGACTAAATTTTTCGAACAAGCAAATGTGGCAGAGGTAAGCAACAAAGTGCAGCGACGTTTAATTGCATTTACACGGCAAATGATTCGATGTTCGTTCTCTAGTTTACCACTGCTTACTTCTTCTCTACTGCGGTTGACCTCATGCAAAGATATGTGGTCAAGGCTGCAGAAGACGTGCCAGTGCTATTCTATCGTCTGTCCATCGAGAAAGAAGAAAAGGATTTGCACGAACTCTACGACACCGTTGTGGATGGTAATATCATATATCAGTCTCCGATAAGAGATGCTGGTATCATTTTGTTTACGGGAAAGTGTATCGGGAAGTATGTATTTCTTCCTTGAAATCTAACTGAATTTTACAATTTGCAGTTGGCGAGAAAGTCAGTGAAGAACTTAGCGTTTTGTTCGGTCGTCAAGTATCACACTCTAGGAAAGACAACAACAAACTCAATCAGTGGCGCAAGAAGATGGCGGGAATTTGGATTAGTTTCACAAAAGACATGTAAGTTCCTCATACAGGTCGTATCTGAAGTATTACATAAGTATCGAAAAATATTTCTTGCTAATAAAATTCATGACGAGAAGAATCATGCACTAGTACACAGCGTTAGAGTATTTAGGAACAGATTAGACATTAATTTACGATTTTTTTTTTAGCAAATCGTCTGTATCATCCAAGGCTACTGGTGGCGTGGAATGGCTTCCCTCTGGATCGGATGGAAAACAATTAGACATCAGCGAAGAGTTCTCCATGGGCTCACGTTTGCTCAGCGAAGTATACATTACTATGGAAAAGATACATGAATTTCTAATGTCGTTTAGCAGAACGAACGACGGCAAATCTGATGACGATAAGACCGCCAAACACGGTGACAATAAGAACGACAGCCACGGTGATAGACACGATGACAATAAGAATCATAGCCACAGTGGCACACATAGAGACCATGAAACAGATCAGCACAGTGGCAAACATGACAACAAGAGCGGCAGTCACGATGGCAGACATAGTGATAATGACAGCGGCAGTCACGGTGGTAAAAATAGTGATGATAAGACCCATAGCCACAGTGGCACACATGGACACCATGAAACAGATCAGCACAGTGGCAAACATGATAACAAGAGCAGCAGCCACAGTGGTCAACATAGTGACGATAAGAGCAATAGTCATGGTGGTAAGAATAATGACAACCATGGTGGTAGACATAGTGACAATGATAGTGGCAGCCACAGTGGTAAACATAACAACGGTAAGAGCGGCAGCGAAAATGGCAGACATGAAGACAATGAGGACGACAGTCATGGTGGTAAGAAGAATGACAATAAGAGCGGTAGCCACGATGGTAAGAAGAATGACAACAAGAGCGGTAGCCACGATGGTAAGAATAATGACAATAAGAGTGGCAACCACGGAAGTGAACATGGCGGTAAGAGCGGCAGCGAAAATGGAAGACATGAAGACAATAAGAACGGCAGCCATGGTGGTAAACATAGTGACGGTAAGAGCGGCAGCCAAAATGGCAGACATGAAGACAATGAGAACGGTCAGAGTAGTAATCAAGGTGGCAATCACAAAGACGGTCAGAGTGATAATCACGATGGCAGTCAAAGCAACGGCAAGAGTGGAAGTCAAAGCAACGGCAAGAGTGGCAGCAAGAGTAGTAGCCAGGATGGCAGTCAAAGCAACGGCAAGAGTGGAAGTCAAAGTGGCAGCAAGAGTAGCAGCCAGGATAGCAGCCAGAGTGGCAACAAGAGTAGCAGCCAGAATAGCAGCCACAGTGGCAGCCAGAGTGGCAGCAAGAGCAGCAGCCAGGATAGCAGCCAGAGTGGCAACAAGAGTAGCAGCCAGGATAGCAGCCAGAGTGGCAGTCAAAGCAACGGCAAGAGTGGAAGTCAAAGTGGCAGCCAGAGTGGCAGCAAGAGTAGCAGCGAGGATAACAGCGAGAGTAGCAGCAAGAGTAGCAGCCAGGATAGCAGCGAGATTAGCAACAAGAGTGGCAGTGAGAGTAGCAGCGAGAATAACAACGATTGTGGTAGCGAAAGTAGCAGCAAGAGTAGCAGTCAAAGCGGCAGTCAAAGCGGCAGTCAAAGTGGCAGTCAAAGTACCAGTCAAAGCGGCAGTCAAAGTGGCAGTCAAAGTACCAGTCAAGGTGGCAGTCAAAGTACCAGTCAAAGTGGCAGTCAAAGTGGCAGTCAGAGCAGTAGTTCCTCCGGCAATGCCGGTGGTAATGAGAGTAATGGCCAAGTTAGTTGGACAGGTGGCAACAATGGTAGAACCATCGTTTGGACTAACCATGTCATCAATGGTACCAATACTACTTCTGGTATCAATGGTAGCAAGGATGGTAACCAGAATGGTGGTGAAAGTGGCATTCAAAGCGGCAGTCAAAGTGGCAGTCAAAGTACCAGTCAAAGCGGCAGTACCGGTGGTAATGGCATCAATGGCCAAGGTAGTAGTACCAGTGGCAACGGCGATGGCATGAAGTGGACTACCCGTGTCATCAATGGTACCAATAGTTCTTCGAGTACCAATGGGAGCAAAGACGGCAATCAGAGCAGTAGTTCCTCCGGCAATGCCGGTGGTAATGAGAGTAATGGTCAAGTTAGTTGGACAGGTGGCAACAATGGTCGTACCATCGTTTGGACTAGCCACGTCATCAATGGTACCAATACTACTTCTAGTACGAATGGTAGCAAGGATGGTAACCAGAATGGTGGTGAAAGTGGCAGTCAGAGCGGTCGTGTTTCCGGCAATGTCGGTGGTAATGGAAGCAATGGCCAAGGTAGTAGTACCAGTATCAACAACGATGGCACACACTGGACTACCCGTATCAACAACGATGGCACACACTGGACTACCCGTGTCATCAATGGTACCAGTAGTTCTTTGAATAGCAATGGCAGCAAGGATGGCAATTAGAATGGTAGTCAAAGTGGCGGTCAGAGCGGTAATACCTCTGGCAATGTCGGTGGTAATGGAAGTAGCGGCCAAAGTAGTAGTATCAGTGGCAACAATGGTGGCATGAATTGGCTTACCTGTGTCATGCATGGTATCAATGGTGGTACTGGCACTAGCAGTACCAGTGAAAGTAGAGGTCCCCATTTAAAATTGCACTAATATGGATAATTCGGCAGCTAGCTAACTATTAAGACTTAATTTTCCGCTTTTGTTAGAAAAGTGTATCTATTGTTAATTTAACAATGTAATAAACTCTGCAACAAAGAAATTGCATTCATATATTCTTTACCCTTCTTCTCGTTATTCTAACATTTCGGTATTTTGAAGAGTATAGTCGTATAAGCGTGGTAAAATTGTCGACACTCCAAAGTCAATTCGCCATGTATTTACAATGTATTTACATACATACATACTCATCTATACATATGTATATCTCTCAAAGAAATCACTTAAATAGAGAAGTATGTATCCGGTATGTCTAAGAGTGAGGTAGTTTTATGCTGGGACGTTAATTACAGAGTGTGTTCTGTAGAAGTTGTTCTATTGAGTAAAAAATTATTATAGGAATTCTCGGAGTAACAAGTACTCGCTAAGATGATATGCTCGTACGCTTCCTTACCGGGTATGTTGCATTCATTGTTGGTGGCCACGAACAGAAACGTCTCATCTCCGAGGAGAGATTATATGTATGTATGTATATATGTACATGAGAAAGCAATACAACAATACTCATGTGTACTCAATACGTATGCACTAGTAGGCAAGCATAGGAAGACACTTCATTGAACCTTCTCTTTCTGTTGCGGCATTGCAGTCACTTATGGGACACCTCCGAAACTCACGCGATTTGTCTTATGTGTCTATGATAAAAATTCGTAATTCAAAGGTTCACTTCGTTACGTAATCGTGATTTAAATATGCAACACAATTCTTCGTTTTCTTTGTAAAACAATTGTAAATCCACATGTAGCATATTTAAGTATAAGAGCATTTGGAAAGTAATTTTAATTGTAAAAGGAGAAAGATTAATAGAAATTTTTATGTGAAACACCGAGAAAAATAATATCTTTTCAGTGTGTGAATTAGAAATTTCATGGTACATTCTTGAAACACTAAATCTGTTCAGAAATTTCTTTTATACTTTGTCTGTGATACGATACTTAATTTTAATAAAAGACTGCAACTGACTTATGCTATTATAGTATCTTGCGTACTAAAGCACGTGATATGCATTCTTTCATATCAGATTCTATCAATAATATTATAAAAGGCAGGTAACCAAATTTCTTATTATTTAAACGATTAATATTTTGAATCGTTGTGAGAGTTTCAGAACGTGTGACATAATATTTCAGGATATTATAACACTGCTTAGCAGAGCGTTACGTTTGCGATAAGAGAAAACAATTAATTATACTTCATCGAACTTTGTTATGACGATCGTACAATTGAAAACGAAAGCGTTATCCAATTCTACTGGCTTGTTTATTCGCAAATCCACTGTCTCCTTGCACTTTCACTCTAAACATTCCCAAGAAACATGCATACATAATTCGATCACCATGCGGTTGATTTAAAATCTCAAATTATAGTTTGTAACTATTATAGCCGATTATCATACGTTAAGATTCAATTGAAAAGAATTCAGTTCAAAGCCTATTAATGTATATATGCACATATGTGCAAATGAATCAACGGGAAAAAGAATCTAAAAGGAATGAAGGAAATGTAAGCGAATTAAGAAAATAATTATAAAAGAATAATAATTCTATTCAATCAAACTATTAAAATTAGAATAAATGAATATTATTAATTATTATGTTTTGTTTTTAGTTCTAGCAAATTGCATAGAAATATGTATTTCTATGGATGAAACAATTTATGACAATTTATTGAAAATTATATTGTACGAATATAATCACAACTAACAGTAGAGATTTTGAACACATAAAGGAAAGGGATCATCAGAAACTATTTCTACACGAATCGGTTCTCACGAATCAGCTAGACGGGTTAGAAGACCGCCAAAGGAGTGTATACTTCACTTCGTTGCACGTTATAATCCACGATAAATGTCAAGATGTTCTTTTCCTTCTTCTATGATCGGGAAAGTTCTCGGTTCTATGATTTCTGTAATTGTCGTAACAGTGCTTTACTGCCAAACAAAAGGGGCGACATCGGCTGTTATTAAACTACGGATTTTTATCATGACGCTGTCTAAAAATACGAATTTTACCTTATATCGGTGGAAAAATGTAATCAACTTTAGCCCAAATTAATGGTTCAAGTTTCCTATTTTTCTATGTCCTCTGGAAGTTTTACATAACTTGACTCTAACAGAATAACAACCGACCGGAAAGAAAGTCTCCATCAAAGGAATTGTGTTGCATTTTAAAAATTGTATTCTAATGGAAAATGATAAATTTCAATTTCTGATAGCTTCGTTAATAACGAATCGAATTACTTCATTCTTGAGTCTGAATATTTAAATTCTGCATACCAATCTATGATCTGTTATCGTGTTTCCTGCATTCTACGGTATCTCAAAATTTACGCATCGTCGTAAGTTGAGAAGCAGAACCGAAAAGTCACAGTTGACAATAAACGAAAATCAACGCTTGTTTAGAACTTCTCAGACCTGGTACGGTGCGGTGAACTGTGGCAGTAGGTATGTATACTTGTTTAGATCGCAACGAGGTTGAGGCGATGGTCGGGCCCATGGGCGGGCCCCGTCTCTCCCGAAGGGGACCTATATAAGTGACTCGCAGCCGATGAAACGCGATTTTCCATACAGAATTGTGTTTCCACCTCATCAGCGACTGAGACATGCATCCTTCCGTAAGTATTCTAAGCACTTTCTCATTTCGCTAATCATTTCCCTAATATCTATCATTGGATTTTAATTAGTATGCATAAAAGGCATGTAATTCACATATTATACAAAAGTACATATAGTAGAAATACTAATATATATTATGAGATGTTTAAAAGAAAATTTTTCTTCAATTTCAGTTTTGAAATTAATGTTATACAAATTTTATTTTCCATAAAAATCGACGGTTTAGCTATCACATATTTTGCTATGTAGTATAAAGTTATCTTTTTGTTCTAATGTCAGTCTTAATACTATTGAATTCAATGTATAAATTAAAATAATCAACGTCAAATCAGATGTATTATAAAAAGAATCGTCATTTAACTTTAATCATTCGAGAAATCAGATAATCAGTGTCCTGTTGTCTTTCTATTCGATGATTGATAATATTTAATGCGTTATTCGTGTTTTCCCATTATCCAATATGATTTTTAGGCAATATTCCTCGTATAAATATTAAATAAGTTTCGCGTAATAAATACTCGATATTTACAATTCCATATGTGATCAATAGTTCGTGCGACCCTTCCATTAAATAGAAATATACAGTGAAATGTTAATAGACATAGTGCGCGTTTAATATCTCGGAACGAAATTGAAAGAATTTAAAGCGCGCGAGGTTATTGGAAAGTGATTTGATTGCGTACAGTAGCAACGATTTTTTCGTATGCGTCTCGAGACTTTTACCGTGAAAACCCGTGTCGCCAGGTGCTGTGTCTTTTGTTGCACGTTGGCCTTGCGTTCGCCCAACTGAACCAATACCCCGTAACCACGCCAGTGCCTATTTTGAAGCAGATAAACAAGTAAGTGACTTTATCACGATTTAATTAATTCTAGCTTAATTGTTAGAAGTTAACGATTGAATTTTAGTTTTTAATTAATAAATATGCTAATTATTTATGATTCAGATTTAGAGAAATTTAATCGTTAATTGTTGATGCAAAATCTGCAATCCTGATACTAACTATAATCTTACAAGTTTAACATTTATTAAAAAGATTTTTCGTATTCCACTGACCACTGTATTCTACTGAAAAAATCCGATTAGACACAATGGGGATGGCAGCTATAGCTATGGATACGAGGCAGCGGACGGTTCTTATAAAATCGAATCGAAATATCCGACTGGCGAAGTGTACGGAAAATATGGATTCGTCGACGATACTGGGAGCGTTCGAGAGGTCGAATACGGTGCGTCAAGGCGTGGATTCGAACCCGCAGGTCTTGGAATAAACGTGCCACCGCCGACCCTGACTGGTAACAGCATCGCGAATCCAAACGGAGTCGACGACGATGGACAGTACAAAGAAGACCCTTCCATTTATTACACGGATCCTCGTTACACTAATGGAGAACGATATGACCCCGTTCCTCGTCAACCGTTGGTACCGAACCAGCCACGACCCATTCCAGCGCCAATTTATAATCCGCCAAGGTAAAATGATTTATTATTAACCAGTCGTTTCAATTGCGTTTGAGGCTCCATTTTTTAGTTATGACAAATTCAAAATTGTACTTGCAAGTGTTTTATTCTTGACTTTTATCTTTTATCAGGTAAAATTACCTCTTCAAATTTTTGCGATTAACAACCGAACACCATGTATAAAAGAGAATGTTTTGACTTTTTTGAATTTCTTTCTTTTTTTTATCACACTCATACTCGAAGTAGTTCGGCTTCGCAATTTCCTAGAGTTTCGAGTGCCTTAGAATACTCGTTAAAACCTACACGTTACTTGCTATCCTTTTTACCTATCACACATTTCTTTTAACATTTCCGCTTCAATCTCTTCAGCTCTCGTAAATATCTTTGCGGGACCTATGTTGCAATTCTCGCTTAATGTCGTCTTAATTCCGTTCTCCGCTCTCTCGGAGATATCTTTTATCCATTCTCTAGCTATTTCACACTCTTCAAAGAGGTGTTCCAACGCGCCCCATCACTCCTGACTACAATTCCTCGTCTCTTCTTCTAATCAGTGAAAATTTGCATTTTCTACACTTCCACACCTCAATCTCTCTCCTTATATACTCTCATAAATATACGGACACATAATTATCATTCTATATTGTTACTTATAATGCATTTTTTGAATTTGTTATTGAATGGATTAATGCACTTTCTCCACTATACGTAATGTATAAAAATAAATTCTTTATTTTTTATTATTTTATACATGTTTACTTGTGACAAAAAATTAGTACAATTTCGACATTTCAAAGATACTCGGACATTGAACAATACCTTATTATTATTTATATATGAATTTTGCTATCTGTCTTCTGGTGAAAAAACGTTTATACATATAATGAAAGTTAATTAAAATTTCTTCCTCGGTTTTCCAGACCTCCGACGCAAGTGCGATATCAAACACAATCTCAGCCGCAATATCAACCACAACCTCAGCCGCAATATCAACCACAACCTCAGCCGCAATATCAACCACAACCTCAGCCGCAATATCAACCACAACCTCAGCCGCAATATCAACCACAGTACAGGTCGCAATATCAGGGCCAACAGCAACGTTCTGTTTATTCGTCTGCGCCAATTCAAGGTCGCCCGGCGCCCATCGATCCAAATGCCGGGTTAGCATCGTACACGGTTAATTATCGTCGATAGAAATATTCTTTACCGTCAATTTTGTGAAATTTACTGCGGATTTTTATGCAGAAAGTGTCTTGTAAAGTATAATTAAATTATAAAGATTCTTCATCATTCAATTCAATGGTGTACAATTTAAATTGTTTTAAATACTCGTATAGATTGCTTGCATCTTTTAACATGCTTCAAAATGTATAAAAATCCGTGATCTGTTTATATCTTAATTTGCTGGACGCAACGCAAAAATCAGATGGAAATGGGCGAACTACTATAAAGGTATAAAAAGACTGCGTACGTCCTGTTTATTTAATATTGTTACATTTTCTTTTCCTCACCGAATAATACTGGCGTTTAAAGGACTGGGTTACTTTTTCTAACATTATTATTTAAAAATTCAATCTTAAATTGCTTGAGCAATGCTTAACATTTTATTCAATTTGGTATGAATCAATAGGTAAGTACTCCTGATTGATAAAAGTGAAAAATTCTCGTCCTTTAAATGTTAAGGAAACCAAAATATTGCTGTGGCTTTAGTTTATGTACACATACTCATCTCACAGAACATTATGTTGCATTGTAATCACTTGTATTATTATGTCATTTCCACTTCACTTCTATATGGACGTTCTTCTTTGGGAGAAGACCTCCTCATAAATTCACATTGAAATTTGAAATAAATCTAATCTTCACATAGTCATGAATAGACCGTGGATTTTGTGTATTTATAGTGGAGTTATATACGTAAAAAACGTAAAAAATATATGTAAAAATCCGCAGTCTAGTCATGAATCACGGAGGACGTACTAAGTAATATTCAAGAACTATTTATAGAAGAAGCATATTAATATGACATAAAATATCCCACACTACATAAACTATCTTCATATTACGATCGTGTACAGTGCCGCGTTTACGGTTTTGGAAGCTCTAAGCTCAACATCATTATCAATTCTTCTAATAATAAGTCTATTCTAGTTAATAAAATTCATACATATTTTTTCAAGGTTTATTATAAATATAATTTGATATTTCCATAATAACTTGTTTCATTAACATAGAAATACTGTGTTGTATGTACACATGTACATATAGTAGCATTTTTACTGATTCTTTCTTATGATAAGTCTAATATTTAATAATATTTTATTTTGCAGTTATAACTAGACTGTTTTTTTCATATTTTTTGTGAGAAGAAAGGTTCCAAAATGTAGTTTTCATAGGAAGTGAGGGCCCAGTCTAATGCGTCTTATGATAAATGCGGCACTGGTCAATTGCTATTTAGCATTCTACACGACGTTTGTACTATCATATGTACAAAATACTTATTGTCAGCATAAATACGAACGTGTTTGTAGTTTCTACAAATAGTTCCACTTTAAATCTCTACCTCCTTTTCGCCTTTCTACCTCTTTTTCATGCCAGTTCGTTGTATTAGCCATTTTCCCTCTACTTCTCAATGTTCACTTTCCTAATTTGGTTGTACACGTTTCTTGGCATGTAATTATTTCTTACAGTCTCTTTTTAGATTAAATACTTGAAACATCCTATAAAAAAATCTTTGGTTTTTCTCGTCCATATGCATGCTGCATTTTTTATTCATTTTTTTATATGTTATAAAGGCATGAACGATGAATGAGAAATGTCATGTACAAACACTTTATTACGCAATCATCAATGATTGTTAATTTAAAATAATATTGGATACGAAATGGGAATAATTAATTATTTATAGGTTTTCAGTAAATGGATCATATAAATGTTCTATTACAGAAAGATGATTGTCAATTTTTAATAAAATATAATCAAATAACATTTGAATGTTCACATAATATACTTAATAGTAGAATAGTACTATCAAAAAGTGCAGTTACGTGTGTATTGGACAGACGTACTATCTTCGTTATTTTGTAACTTGTTGTATTGAGTAATAAAATTCTAAATAATGAAAGGACCATTGTTTTACTTAAGAATTATAATGTTATTGATCTGTACGCATTTCTGTAATAATTGTAACATTATGCGATTATTAATTTGGTATTTACTTTACATTAATCTTGGATTATTTAGAAAATTTATGATAAACGTCCCAATTTTTGTTCACGTCATAACTCTTACTCACTAGCTTAAGATATCGTGTAAAATTATAGACGAAGAAAGCCAGTGCGTAAGTACTTATAAGAGAACGTAAGAGAATGTACAGTTTTCAAATCAAATTTTTTGGGAAAACAGCGCTTGGTCTTTCATTTCAAATAAATATTATATTCTTTAGTTCATTATAATTAAATTATCACTTAAATTGCAAATTCCAAGAACGTTTCTCTGTTTTAAATAATTGGTTGCATATTTCAAAATACGATGCCAAATGTCGTTAAAACAAAAAAGTGAACCACATCCTGTCTCCCTTCGGTGTAAAAAGTAAACCTGTTTCGTTCAGAGCACCAGTTATTTCCAAAAACGATCGACCTTGATCTGCTCGACTGCAGTTAAACTCTCAGAGGAAAGTGATAGCTGTTACTGCCATGCCAAGGAAGTCTTTTTTATATCTGGCAAGGAAGGCTGTCGTCGCCACGCCCAGGAATTTCATCCACGTAATTACCAGGATACCTGAAGCTTCTAGGTGAACCTCTTCTGCTCTCGCAGTGTCCATATTTTTGTCATTCAGTTATTTAAAAATCAAGGAAGACTACACTCTTGCTCAAAAGTTTGGAACAGTCTCCCCTTTTGAATTAAAAATCATAACAAAACTATCTTTTTTTTTGCATAACTCACTTTAATTCTCAACTAAAAAAACAGCCATTTCCTTTATAAAAACCAAAACAAACAAAATGCTTTCTCGCTATTTTTCTGACTTTTAACAACAGAAAAGCAGACATATAAAATAAAATATATGGAAAATTTGTAACGTACAAAATAGGCTTATATGACTAATAAATTTATATAAACTGTAGGAAGTAATAACTTATGCTTGATACCAGATATCTTTTTGTATTACTATCCTTGATTTCTTTCCTATTATCCTCTTCCTTCTCAATACTTCCTCTACATCACCTTCACTCCTTAGTTCCACTATCAGTATAATTTTTCCGTCTTTTACTTTCAGTCTTTTTGTCCCCTTTATCCACTCCCCTGCACTTAATGTCTCATTGAACAACGCTTTAATTTCTTCTTCATCTTCGTTTTCTTCTACGTCCCACATCTCCTTGTCTATTATAACTTTCACCTTCTTTCTTCTATTTTGTTTCTCTTTCTCCATATCAATCCATCTTGGCTCATTCTTCCATAACCCCCTTCTCCCTTGGCTTTTGTTCGCTTCTTTTCTCTGATTTGATTCTTCTCTATCTTTCCAACTCTTACACATGACTGGACCCTTTTCTTCTCTTTTCTCTTTCACCAACCTTTCTCTTTCTTCCTCTTTTCTCTTTTGCTCTGATTCGTTCAGTATCTTCTTTTTCCATAGGATTTCCCATTCTAATTCCATTCTTCTTCTAATCTCTTCTTTTATCCCGCCCATCACTTCCATTATCGTTAGTTCTACCACATCCTTCACCATTTCCTTTATCTTCTTTCTCTCGTCCTCAATCATCCTCTCTAGCATCGTTTCCTTTTGTTGTTTTTTTGAGGGGATTTCCTCGACCTCTGCCATCAGCTTCTCCGTGGAAAAGTAATTCCTTTTATCCATTTTTACCTGTGACATCATAGCCTCTGAATTTTCTTTATTTCCGAACGTGCACCACATGGCCGTCTAACCTGTTATCGCTAGTTCTGTTTAGTCCTTCTTATCATATTACCTTTCTTTTTCTCCTTACTATGTTTCGTCTCTTCCTCAGTGTATTTTCCCTCTAATTATTTTCCTATTCTCTTCTGAATTTCTTCTTTCCTCCTTCTCGACTTTTTCTTTGGATTTATCTATCATATATACTTTTGCTATTTTTCGCTTAATCTTATTCAACGCTAGGTACAACTCCAATACTAGGACAGAGTTCGAAGATAGTGTACTGATATCAGAGAGGACTCTCTGCCAGGGATCTCAGAATTTATCCCGCACGGCTCGCTTCCCCTCTTTTTCGCCCATATTTCGATCCCCATTACCATTCTTCCCATGCGCCTTCGTTGACCATGCCTAGCATACCGCCATCAAGTACTAGTCCCCACCATGGTCGCGTCGTCTCCACTTTTTGGCCGAGGGATAAATTCCAAGATCCCTGTTCTCTGCTGATATGAGTCAAGGAGTGAAATCACAGGATGATGAATTTTCGGCATAGAAAATACAAGATAAGGAATCTATTATCATTTTTATACAACACTTCTAACTATTTAACGATTTATTTTGCGATGTTAATAACTAACAAAAAAATGGTTGTGACAAATTGTTGCGCACATCTCTTCTGAAGATACAAAGCAATACTAAAAAGTAAGGATTCCCATTTTAAAGAATCAAATTGTATTTTATATAATGTACAGGCCTCCACTACCAAAAGTGTAATGCAATCATCGAATGACTCGAAATCCGACAACTTTTATTCGAAACATTGTCTTAAAAAATGTGTTGTTTACAAGATGTTAATCTATCTTAAGATAAATGGACCACCCTGTATACATATGCACATGTATAGTATATGTAAAGACTGGCAACTGTCACGGACCACCGCCCATGTCCACCTTTCACAATATACACTGTTGTTCAAGTATTTTGCAGCATTCACCTACCATTTGGCTGACATTTTTTTTACATATCACGACACTTCTCAACTCCACTGCTATTAAAAGTTGAATGTGTGAGATTTTATGTAAGAAAGCTGTATTTTCTAACAGAAGAATTTTGTAATAATTAACACCCTTAATAAAGATATAAAAACGGTTTGAACTTCTTTACAGCCTGCCCTGTCTATAAACACAGTCCATTTTAGAATTAATACATTTCAGTTACCATTGAACAGTTTCATCATTTATAGAAATTGAAAATCACAATTTACTTGACGTTCAAAGACTCTTCAAGACCGTTCAGATCCTCATTATACTGTCCATTTCTTTTTTAAACTTGCATCGTACTGTTTTCAATTCAAGATGTACATACAAATTGTTTCTCTTATTATTTTTAATGCTAAAAGGAATTTTATTTTTACAATAAAAACTATTTATATGTACAACTTGAATTAAAGAGATCAAAATTAATTTGATACCTTCGTTTCGATCTGGTTTACTCAATTTACATAGTAATCTGTTTCGTGGAAACGTATTCCGGTGACCTTTATTGAATCTTACTCGACGTTCTATTCTTTTCTTTATTTCAACTTTAAACACCTACGCAACATACTCCTTGCTGTGCGATTCAAAGTACATGATAAATACCACCGATTTAAGTTTTATTTTGTCTCTGCTATCGGCGAGATTTGATAATTGAAATAAAAGTTTAGCGCAGACAGTTTAGAAACTGAAACTTAGATTGTTATACATCCTAAGAAAATGCTGTGTGTATGTAATAGCAATTTTGGCTATTATGTGCACTCTTTATATTATTTATATATCCCACAAAATCAATTACCTACTGATGACTATCGATCGTTTATATTTAAAAATAGGCATCATTAGCCTATTCGTAGCTTAATAAAGTAACTAGGACATGAATTTAATTCTGAGAATTAAACTACTTTTATTTTGACTGAGTTACGTAAGTTGGAATGGAAAGCGCGTCAATCCCGTTTCGTGTGTAACAGTTTCTTTAATTAGTTACGTTATCTCCGATGAGGGTACCTAGTTTATCGAATCATCTTATTAATGTTTGAAAAAAGAAACAACTTGATTCTAAAAAGTTGATATTTGCAATTGAAGTGTTCTACTTCAGCTAACTCTTCCTTCCGGTTAAGCAACTGAATAAGTATACGTAAATCATTATTCTAAAACTAAGATCATTTACTCTTTTAAGTTTTAATGAATGTTTTAATAATCTCAAGACATATAATAAAAAACTAGACTATAACACTTACGCTCTAATTACAGTGAATTTCATATTCGTACAGATTTTAAAATTGAATAACATTTTCAATATTGGACTTAAGGAATGAATTTTTTTCAGGTGTTAGAAAGATTAGTTAAATGACTTAGTATCCATGCAGCACAATGCTTCACATTGATATTCTCGTACGCAATTTCGCGAATCCGCGTTCACTTCGAATGCATTCTGTTGGAAGGCGTGGTGCGACGTGCTTCTGTTCGTTGAACCAGATAGAATTTACTTTCTTCTACCTGCGTCTTACAAGTACTTTCATCCATTTATTACACGCGGCAATACAGATTTGTTTTCGGGTCAATGGCAACTGATGCTAGCGGTTTTTCCCTGTAGAATGGGAATCTGAAAACAAAAATATCAAACGGGTTTTATGTTCTTAAGTAAAACCATGTTGAAAGTGCAAGAAAACTATAACCACTGTGGGATATCGTAATTTCCTAGTAAAATTCGGATTACTATGCTGAATAATTGGCACCAAGCTGTACTTTTGCATGGAGAATACAAAATATCGAAATCTTTTTGATCTACGTTTTCCGACTACAATGACTTTTTCAGGACGTGACCGTTCTCTTCGAAGGCTCTTCGACAATTAATTTCACTTTCGAATTTCATCCCCTTTCGCTCATGTCGACTTTCAAGAGGGTTCATCCCTAAAAACAAGGGAACTGCACGATCTGGGAGAAGAAGTGTTTAGCCGGGCCTGGAAGCTTTCGACACGGCGCGCGGCATCAATAATGAGAAATCTCATCTCTTATCAGATGCATCATTAAATAAAAGAAAAAGAAAACGTTCTAGGAAAGTCTTATGATAGACAGAATAAAAGCAAAATTCTCATGTGAATCCTCGTTGTCAGCCGGATCGAATAGATAATGATCCCGTATATACGAGAAATGCCAATGTACAGCGTCTCATGATCATGACTAAACAATCGTTTCTTGTTATTTATGGAAGGCCGTAGCACGTGAATAATTCCTATGAATATTTTTTTATGTGAATGTTTTCATATTTATGTTTTCTCACGTTCTGGCAATTCACGGACATCTTGATTCATGGTACTTGTTCATGTTAATATGTGCTCACGTAATTAAATCTCATGAAACCCGTGCGAAAATACGATACATCACTAAATGCAGTAGAACAGCGCTGTTTGTCATCTCTTACTTAGTCCACGGGTCATTTTCTTCTTTTGCAAATATCTCAGAAACCAAGGGAAAAGAGATAATAATCAAGTAGTCAATTAATGTAAAAAATTAGTTTATTTGTACGAAGAAAATATAATACATTAAAATAAAGTAAAAAATAATGTAACAGCGTGGAAAATTTCATTGACAGCTTTGTGAGCTTAATTGTTGAACAACAATTTATTTCATATTGCTATTTGTCAAACGTGCTGTCTAAAACAATGAAACTAAAATATCTGGTATTATACTGACCTGGCAGTTGTCCTAACATTTATGACCTGCAGCGTACGTAACAACGTTTCGGATTGTTACATAGAATTAGAAAGTGGAGTAAGTCTGGTCAATTAGATAAGGCTGTCTGCTAAAAAGAATGCCAGTGAAAACAAGTTCAACCAGGGGACCACGGTTGAAAAAAAATTCTTGCAGTATGTATTCCAGTGAAATATCAAAAACACTCGTTTTACCGATTTCACGTGGTTCATTTAAAAAGCATGTCATTGTGCAATGTAATCCCTTTTTTATTGACATCGCAGTTACATAAGAAATAACCATAAATTGTGAAATCAATAGCTACAAGGTGTCTCATCTGAAGTTTTTCAGTACAATTATTTCACAAATTATGTATAAATTATTCCAAAAAGTTTTACGTCGTTGTCATTTGTCAAGCCACTTTAAATTAGATTTCGCTAAGTATAATATATATATACTGCGATGATGGCTATCATGGAAACTATGAAAGATATTCTCAGGTGACTCAAACTGTATATTATTTAAAAATTTCTCTTCTATTTTGCGACTTTTAAATATTTTTAATATTCGAAATTTTCATGTAATCGATTTTTTATACATAATTTAGAGCTCTCTGATTTGTGTACGTTATTGGATTTCTAGAAACATTCACTAGTTGAGCATAAGACTTGTTTATAAAATGGATCTTATCAGGTAAGACTATAATAGCTGCTTGTAACGGTGCTGACTGTGACATTTGAAATTAGAGTTATTTTTCTCTCGAACAATGCTGAAGGATAAATAATTATTATGACAAATCATACGTATTAAATAACATTAAGTTGTCACTTTCTTTAATAACAGCACATGTGATTTCTATTTATTTAACCCAAATAATTTACACAAACTTAAATGA